AAAAATACAACGGATAATCATTTTACCAAGTTAATTGTTCAGTCGTTTTCAAAACATAATTTTCAAATTAAAAAGGACTCTATATTAGGAACATAATTCAGGGTTTGATTAAACTTTTTGAAAGCCAGGGGGGTCGGTAGACGGGGGGGCTTAATGTAGGTGCCCATGTTTTAAGGAAAATTGTGATTAATTTATCCAATAAGGCTGCATTGACAAAAAATATGGCAGTTAATAACAAAAAACTATCAGAGGGACAGATATGGCATATATAGATTATTACATTGTACAATATTTCATGACCGTCACATTTTTTCACATATTTTGTCGATCATTAAAATTTTATAGTGCAGAATTGTACCTATAAAGTATGTTTTAATACGGTTTCAATATGCTTTTATAACGCATGTACCCGTGATTGTCTCAAAATTAGTGCTTGTCTTAACGAATATCTTATTATTATTTAATAAATGTACAGTCTGAGTAAAATCACTACATGTTACACCATGTTACACCACATGTTACAGTACATGTTACACTAAAAGTTCTATATTTTATTATATATCCTGACATGTTACAACATGTTACACCTACCTTTAAAAATATCTATAGTTCCTTTTAAAAATATAGGTGTAACATGTAGTAACATGTCAAGAACTATAGTAAAGTATAGTAATTTTAGTGTAACATGTAGTGTAACATGATGTAACATGATGTAACATGTGAAGATTGAGATTTGTTCTAACCTATAATCGTTGAAAATGTGCATAGAGAACTGAAAACCTTCAAAATAAATTAATCCTAACATAATTTAAGACACAACCAACCGATAAACGAGCAGAAATATCTCTTAGTTTATTTAATCCAAAAGAACTCAAGAAATCAAGCAGTTATGTGTATTTTATGAAATTAAATTCGCTTATTTTCCGGAGCAAATACTAAGTAAAACATTTTGAAAAGGGTGTTAAACCTAGAGGATTCTAAGTTGAAGCTAATATTAAATTTACTATACATTCAAAAGTATAAAAACATTTATAATCGTGTCCAAATTCAACGAAATTGCAAGGATAACCCGAGCTGTGGGCGGTAATATACGCCTATTTCCTATAATCGTACCATGGGAAGTCTCCCCCCCCCGGAAAATTGTTTTGGGAGTCTGTTTCTACTGACATATGTGCCACTTGACTTTCATAACAACATAATAGAATAGAAAATTTTATATGTCCAAAAAATTTAATTTCTATCCCTTACAGGTTAAGGGTTTGGCTTAATTCAGGGACAATCCTGGAAAAAAATTAGTAGACTTCTTAAATTTTCAAACTTTGTCCCCCTCCCCCCTTATACAATGTTGGTATTTAGGTGACATGTGTTGCAAATCCACTTTACCTGAACCAACATTGTTTCGGGGGGGGGGAGGGGGTAATTTAAAGTAAATAGTTGCTTTAATTGAAAAATGCTCACATTTTCATCAATGTTTCCAAATTTGGGTGTATTTTTCGAAAAGTCTACAAATATTTTTTCCAAGATTGTCTGAAAAAATACAACGGATAATCATTTTACCAAGTTAATTGTTCAGTCGTTTTCAAAACATAATTTTCAAATTAAAAAGGACTCTATATTAGGAACATAATTCAGGGTTTGATTAAACTTTTTGAAAGCCAGGGGGGTCGGTAGACGGGGGGCGGCTTAATGTAGGTGCCCATGTTTTAAGGAAAATTGTGATTAATTTATCCAATAAGGCTGCATTGACAAAAAATATGGCAGTTAATAACAAAAAACTATCAGAGGGACAGATATGGCATATATAGATTATTACATTGTACAATATTTCATGACCGTCACATTTTTTCACATATTTTGTCGATCATTAAAATTTTATAGTGCGGAATTGTACCTATAAAGTATGTTTTAATACGGTTTCAACATGCTTTTATAACGCATGTACCCGTGATTGTATCAAAATTAGTGCTTGTCTTAACGAATATCTTATTATTATTTAATAAATGTACAGTCTGAGTAAAATCACTACATGTTACACCATGTTACACCACATGTTACAGTACATGTTACACTAAAAGTTCTATATTTTATTATATATCGTCACATGTTACAACATGTTACACCTACCTTTAAAAATATATATAGTTCCTTTTAAAAATATAGGTGTAACATGTAGTAACATGTCAAGAACTATAGTAAAGTATAGTAATTTTAGTGTAACATGTAGTGTAACATGATGTAACATGATGTAACATGTGAAGATTGACATTTGTTCTAACCTATAATCGTTGAAAATGTGCATAGAGAACTGAAAACCTTAAAAATAAATTAATCCTAACATAATTTAAGACACAACCAACCGATAAACGAGCAGAAATATCTCTTAGTTTATTTAATCCAAAAGAACTCAAGAAATCAAGCAGTTATGTGTATTTTATGAAATTAAATTCGCTTATTTTCCGGAGAAAATACTATAGAGGATTCTAAGTTGAAGCTAATATTAAATTTACTATACATTCAAAAGTATAAAAACATTTATAATCGTGTCCAAATTCAACGAAATTGCAAGGATAACCCAAGCTGTGGGCGGTAATATACGCCTATTTCCTATAATCGTAACATGGGAAGTCTCCCCCCCCTGGAAAATTGTTTTGGGGGTCTGTTTCTACTGACATATGTGCCACTTGACTTTCATAACAACATAATAGAATAACAATTTTTACATGTCCAAAAAATTTAATTTCTTTCTCTTAAAGGTTAAGGGTTTGGCTTAATTCAGAGACAATCCTGGAAAAAAATTAGTAGACTTCTTAAATTTTCAAACTTTGTCTCACTCCCCCCTTATACAATGTTGGTATTTAGGTGACATGTTTTGCAAATCCACTTTACCTGAACCAACATTGTTTCAAATGGTAATTTAAAGTAAATAGTTGCTTTAATTGAAAAATGCTCACATTTTCATCATATGTTTTCAAATTTGAGTGTATTTTTCGAAAAGTCTACAAATATTTTTTCCAAGATTGTAGCGGTGTTTTACAATATATATTACACTTTATTGCATATTGTCAGGCATTGACGGAGCTAGGATTTCTCGGTTAAAGCAATCTTCTATTAAGATATTTTAGGGACTTCTTTCAATTTCGGGGCCCCGGGGCAACTTTTCTCTCCCCCTCCCGCCAGTCTGACCCTGGGAAGTAGGTTGTGGTTGCATACATACTGAGATACACAATAAATCGCTCCATAGCGAAAGGCCATGTTACACGGTGCAATTTTTCTTGCAACTTGCGATGCAATTCTACTCTTCGGAGAGATGTAAAATTGCCAAATACGAGTCTTCATTACACTCCGCTGATGTTTTCTCAACATATCGAAAATTCTTCACTGATTTCACTAATTCACATCTCTCAAGAGTAGAATTGCATTGCAAGTTGCAAGAAAAATTGCACCGTGTAACATGGCCTGAAGTCAGAAGCACTTTAAAAACATTTTTAAGCGTACACATCTTACGACCATTTTTTTTATTGGAATGACAACCGTATTCGACCAGTCGTAATACTAAGTTATCGAAGAAACAGGGGGTCTGGTAGCCTGTGTACAGCCGTTACTCTCGACGAAGCGCGCGAGAGAACGTCTGTGAGTTGGATGCATAATCCTTGTTCAGGTCACGTGGATAGTTCCCAAATTTGGGGACAGGCCTCTGATTGGACGGTGCTTTATTTGAATAATTTATGACAAATGAAGCTATTTCATTGGTTAATTGATAATTAGCATGCGTTTAAAATAACAACACAAAAATTTTAAATTCAGCGATTTCCAGGTCAAGAATCAAGATTTCCTTCGGGGCATACAAAAGTTTTGAAAGACTTGAAATACAATCTAAAATACACCAGAATATGCAAACAACGCTGAACGATGATCATTGCCGGCAAGTCCGGTGTACAAGTTCAGTTCTTGGCGTACATATGGCGTATATTTGTTTACAAAGACAAAGTATTAAATATAAACACAACTGGTTATTCAAAAGGCGCATTTTAAAGTATAAATTAAAAGTTAACTGGCCAAGTAAGACGAAGTTAAACACATTACATGTAAAGAAAATGCTTTATCGCGAGGGGTCGGGACGTATAAACAGATTGTCAATTTATTAAATTGTCAATTATAAATTGTCAATTTCCGTCCGATAGTTTGTTTGTATTTTATATATTTGTCAGCATTGTTCGCTGAGTGTCCAAACACTAGAATTTTATCTTGATTTTCTTGAACTTCGATACAGCACAAAATTAAACTCAACTGATTATATTTCAAGTCTTTCAAACTTTTGTATGCCCCGAAGGAAATCTTGATTCTTGATTTGGAAATCTTTGAATTTAAAATTTTTGTGTTGTTATTTTAAACGCATGCTAATTATCAATTAACCAATGAAAAAGCTTCATTTGTCATAAATTATTCAAATAAAACACTGTCCAATCAGAGGCCTGTCCCCAAGTCTGGGAACCAACCACGTGATCTGAACAAGGATTATGCATCCAACTCACAGACGTTCTCTCCGCGCTTCGTCGAGTGTAACGGCTGTACACAGGCTAGGGGTCTGGCCGTCTGAGGATCTTTCCACATAATTTGTTTTACATTTTCGAAGTTCCGGTTCTTGTAGCACTTCCAACCTTTTTTGTATCGTTCAAACCAAAAATGACCAAATACAAGATTACGAGGCGATTAAAAATTGTCGGTCAAAATCACATTTTTCCACCTTTGACTTTGTGCTTAATTTAAGCTACTCAATTTAATTTATGTTACTGCCTTAACCTTAACTCTTTGTTTCCCGACGGGACTTTATATTCCCTATTCTTGTCCCAAATGATAATTTCTCAAGGAATAGATTTGGAGTACTAAGATTATGCTGTGACGTTTTAGTACAATGTGTGATCTATTTGAGCAACCTAGCTGCAATTACCACATATATCCTACTACTGAAGTAAGGTTGGCTGCTATGAAGCAAACATAATTTATGGCAGCAGACATGCGGTTGCGCCATCTCTTTCATAATGCATTGGTGGAAGCTTCTTCCATCTGTCTTCACCGAGTACCAGGTATTCTGCTGTTATGGGATTCACATTGCGCTCAGGTTTTAGTGGGAAAATTGCATTTCTGGAATTTCCTCCCATAACGACAATCATATCTCCCATAATTACTGCTGCACATCTTGATCTAACAATATAAATATAATGGAATAAGAACCATCAGTCCAAAATGTAAGCAAATAGAGATGACAAATGGGTATCTTAAGAATCTTAATTGAAGCAGTTTTGTATAAATTACCGTTACTTCCCCGAAAATGAGATCATTCCTGCGGGTTAATCCTTATAACAACTTTCTGATTCTTCCAAAATAACGAGGTTGTTTTTGCATTTGTACATGAAAACTATCATTTCGGCGACAGAAAAGGGCAATGCCGCAATAGTGCTCGAGTTTTTAAACAGTTTGTTGTTGGATAAGAATTACGAATAGGGTATTGACAAATCTGTTGTTGGCAATATCCAAACTTTAACTGTTCGTGTCTGTTCCTCCACAAATCCTCTTGTTGCCTAGCCTACGTGTTGTCATAAGCGAATGGAAATGCGTCAGTATATGTATGTTTGAAAAACCAAGTGCCTTTATACGAGGAACAACCCTTTGTAGTGTCTTCTAAAATTCTACTAAAAAATTTCATTACTAAATTTTTCCAAAATCCACGAAATTTTACCTCTCTCGCGATGACGAATATCCGCCATTTTTGGGTGGCAATGTGAAAAGCAATTTTTCAAAATAAACTAACCATTTATAAAGCAAATTTACCATCATTCGTCCAAAAAAATTATAAAAAGTCGCTGTTATGTGGACTTATCTCGCAGACTTCGGCCGAAAAGCCACCCAAAAATGGCGGCGTGAGAAAGGCTAATTGTAAAATATTTTACCAAGCTTAAGTCTGGTCACACTTACCCTGGGCACAGAATAAAGATCAGTAACAGAAGCGCCACTCAGCGGTGCAACGTGTCCAACGTGCGTAATGCGACATGCGCGAGGACAGAAACTTCAAAGCTTCCGACGTAAATGGCCCTTCTGTATAGATCTTTATTCTGTGCCCTGGGTTCAGATGGGTTTTTCATGTCAGGCGAGTTTTAGCTTGACCAGCACCGCCTGAGTGAAGGCTACAGTTTCAGCGAAACAGGAATCCCCTGACCCCGTGTAGGTCACACTTTGTTCACATTGGAATTTGTCCGATTACTTGCGAACTTGAAAGGTGAAATCTTGAAAAAGTTTGAGTATACGGTTTCGAATTTGTCCGCTCCCCTGTGTGCAGCGGCTCAATTCAGACTAATTTGAACATAAGTAACTAAGTAAGGTATTCATTTAGCTGTTAAGGTACTACAGTTATTGTCAGTGAATGATGATGATATATCAATTCAAAAATGTCTTACCTTTTTTCCAACATGCTCGGCAACCTCGAACATTGTTGATTAGTGATGTTGTACATCAAAACATCGTCACACACGTCATATGCGCCCTTTTTACCACCCAGTATAATGATATTGTTATTATGCACGACTACAGTCATATTAAACAATTCGTAGGGTAATGGGGCTAGCTTCTTCATGACGTTTGTTATTGGGTTATATAGTAGAACATCTTCTTTTGCTGTTACTGTTTTACATCTGTAGTAACCGCCTAAGAGGACCACTGCGTTTGCGTTGACACGGGCAACTCCATAAGAGGACATTTCTCGTTCATCGTTATAAGAAAAAAGAACTGTGGTTTTAAATGGAGGTTTAAGAGATGTTGCTGATACAGATTGACCGAAAGTTAATATTTTGTCGCCACAAAGGACCCCTTTACCACATCTTGTGCCAGGTAATTGTACGGGAAAGGTACTGGCACATCTGTTGTCGGCAATATCCAGACATTCCACTCTGTTGGTGTCCTTTCCGCCACAAATCATGATCTTGTTGTCATAAAGGAAAGAAAATGCGTCAATATGCTCGAAAAACAAAGTGTTCACGTATAAACTCCATTTTTGGGTGGACCAGTTGAAAACTTCGTATGACGTCCTGTCTCCTCCTGCTACAACAATCTTTCGGTCGACTGTAGCTTGGTTTGGAATTGGACGGACTCTTCGGAAGTGATCTGTGGACGCTGATGCGGCTTCACAACGCTTTCTTCGTGGCCCCTGCGTCGCACTAGACTGGACAGCTGGATCTGGAACAGCTAGAATGAAACGAATGGCAGTTTAATTAAATAAAACTGTGATATTGCAGACATCCTATTCTTAGTTATCAGAGCTTTTAGTTATTAAAGCTAGACATTTTACTTAATGTTTTTATTTGGGACCTGCGTCATAGAGACATTGGATTGTGTAATGTTAAATCTATTCTAAACGTGCACATGAAAATCTGTTTGTTGCAAATGTATAACTCTCTGTAGAAAACGTCAGTGTTGTCGTTAAAAAAAGTTTTGGTTTGGGCGTAGCTCAAACTTACTCTCCGAAATCTTCACCTTGCGATTTAATCCATCCGAAACTTTCATCAAGCAATAATTAACTCTCCGTTAAGCCGTTCCCAATTGGGGAAATCTGTTGCGAATTCTCTGGCGCTATATTGTTTTTATTAGAAAATTGTTTCTAATTAAATCATGAAATAGTGCCTTGTGCGCTTATTTGTCGTTTTAATTCGGTTGCATTTAGTTGTACATGTAATTATTATTAATTACTTTTTTGTTTACTTTTTACCTTGTTTTCTTTCCATTGCATCAGGTTCAACTCTCGATTGACTTGTTTGCTGACTTGAGTTACTGCTTTGTTGCCTTTGACTTTGCGTTGCATTGGGTTGTCTTAATTCGCTTGCTTGGTGTCTTGAATTATCACCTTCTTGTGTTTGCTTTTTGTCGGACTGTCGTGATTCTCTACTTGGCAACCGTTGGATTTCTTCGCCTTGTCGTAGCTGTTCCTCTCGTATTTCTCGCAAAATCTTCTGAACTGCAGCCAAACCCTGTCTGTTCTTATCTATTTCCTTTAACAAGACACATCCATGTTTTCCATATTCTCGTTGCCTCATCGCTTTGTGACAATCTTCACAAGTTATCGATCGAAATTCACAGCTTGTTTGATGGCTGACGAGATCTTGCCTGTTGACAGTTTTTCCACATCCTTCGCGGGAACATTGGACAGGAGCAAAACTGCACTCTTCGTGATGAGACAACAAAGCTTCATATCTTACTGCGCTCGTACATCCACGAATGGCGTACATGCATTTCAGTGATTGAAACTGCTCGAGTATATTCGCCACGGTTCTTGAGATAGGACGAAGTGTTTCAGGAGTGAGTTTGTCTTGACAAACAGGACAGGTTTGGGATCTCGTTAAATGCTTGGTTATACACTTCTTACAAAAGTAGTGTTCGTTCTTGACACATTGAACAGGGTCTTGTAGCACTTCCAAACATATATTGCAAGTGAAGTGGTGAGACCCTGCTGTATGAGTATTAGTTTTAGTGGAGCAAGTTGCCATTTCACCTTCCTTGCCAGCAAACGTCTACACACTAACCAAACAAATGCATATTGCTGTCGTTATGCTGATTGATACCTGCATGCGGTCTATTTTCTCATGCGAAATTGATCGGAAAACACGGGTGGCTACAAATGTGGTTAGCGCGCTAGCTGTCTCTTACCTCTGAATAAGGTCTGCCACTGTAGACCTAACTCATGCAGAGGCCTACAGTAGCCTAGGACATGGGATTTACTTAGGTTGGTTAACAGCAAGGCCGCCGAGGCCCGAGAGTTTGCCCGAGGCCCTCATAATTGGAAAACGAGAGATCGCGGTGTTTTACAATATATTGCACTTTATTGCATAGGAAATGACGGAGCTAGGATCTCTCGGTTTTATAAAAGCAATCTTGTATTAGGATATTTTACGAATTTTACGAACAAAATTGCAGCAACGTGCAATAAAATCTTATTTCAACGCATGTTAATTGAAATGTTCACACACAAGTTGCAACATCCGAGACAACATTAGTACAAATTTCCATGCAAGTAACATGCGTTGAAATCAGATTTTATTGCAAGTTGCTGCAATTTTGTTGCTCGTATTACTTTACCTTAAGGCCCTCTGTCGCTTTCGGGCCACCAGGGCAAAATCTCCTCCCCAGTCCCCCGCCTGACGCATGGCTCCATGGCGAAGTCAGAGGCACTTTAAACACATTTATATAGGATGCATATCTTACGACCATTTATTTTGAAGATAACATTATATTTTCCTGTAGGATTGCATGGTGGTAAAACATATAATACTTTGTGTTTGTGGAAACACCACGTAAATTTATTACTGCAAAGCTTTCGATCCGTAAGCCCGGATCTTATCAGTGCTAATAATATGCGACTCGTTCAATTCACACGCCCTTTTATATACCAAAGTGTCGTGATCTGTTGGCTTTGCAGTAATAAATTTACGTGTGTTTCCACAAACAAGAGTATATTTGTGTATGTTGCAGCTTTTGGCAAATACTTGAATTCATTTCTGTAAAATTAATTTACTTCTTACATTCTTTGCAGAGAAAGATGTCGAAAAGTGAAATAAAGCGAGTGTACATTGTCAGACCTGAACGAAAATCGTTTCAAAGACATTTGTCGAAGGAATTAGGAAGTAAGAGCAAGGGGAACACAAGAATTAACACCCAGGTAATAGACACTTCCGGTAAATTGTTAACATTTCATTATGAAATTTCATTGCTGCCACCAAAATAATTTTCGTATACTTAATTAATCCGTAAGTGTAAATTCATGACAAAAAAACATTTAGCAGGTATCAATTAGACTTATATATATTTATATGTATTTCTTATTTTATATGTATTTAAAATAAGATTATCAGTGTAAAATCGTTTGAACGTTACGTAACACGCGATCAGATTTTCTACTTGGTTATGACTATATTCAAATTTTTAAATTTTTCATACGTTTCGCAAGCGACAAACAAACTAATGAAGTATGTTTAGTGCTTTATTTATAAAATTATGCTAATCAAGACTCAGATTCCAGACTCAAGCGAAGTTTAACCTTTTTTAATGCTGAACATATTAAGACTAATAGGACTATGAGATCCTTTGTACTTTCTATGTGCAAATCGTTTTAAATGCAAACAATTACAGGTAAACTACGTGAAGCGTTCCTCTTTTGAGTTCCTAACTCATTTGGAATTTTCATAATTTGCTTTGCAAATTTGAAAAACTCGTTGCAAATCCCTTGAGGGAATTTGCAATTTTCCTGTCGGCCGTTGCAATATTCTAACGCAAAGAAAGTTCCTTTCAAATTTTCCTAACTTCCTGCATGTTTTAATTTCCTAACTTCTTGTTCTGTTCTGTTCTGAGCGTTATCATTGGTGGATTATTTTTGTTACCCAATTGCAACCATAGATATCTTAGGCAGCGTTTACACTGTACCGTTTTCGTAGCGTTCTCGTATTGTTCGAGAGAACTAGACTATTGTCTTGCGTTCCCTTGAGGATTAAGAACAATACGAGAACGCTACGAAAACGGTACAGTGTAAACGCTGCCTTATATACACTAGATAGCGCATCTCTTTTAGTAAAATTGAAGCCAAAAATATTCCAGCGGTTACCCCCATTTGAATAGAGGGCGGCCATGTTGGTAGTTCCCACTCGCTAATAAACGCTTAAAAAACACCAATAACTTTCATCATTTGAATAGTTTAAAAATGTATTTGGAATAGGTTTAACTTAATGTTTAAGTTCCCTGTTTAAGAAATAGAAAACACAAGAATCTTCTCATTTCATGGGAATATCCTGAGTCTGCAATCACGGATTCAATTTTTGAATTGCAGAATAATTAGATGCACTATCTGATATCTATGATTGCAACGCACAGCACAGAACAGAACAGAACAGAACAGAACAGAACAGAACAGAACAGAACAGAACAAGAAGTTAGGAACTTGTAACAGGAAGTTAATTAAGAACTTCTAACAGGAACTGAGGAAATTTATTTGGCTCTTATGAGAACATTGCAAATTCCCTCAAGGGATTTGCAAGGGAGTTTTTCAAATTTGCAAAGGTAATAAGGAAAATTCCAATCAAGTTAGGAACTCAAAAGAGGAACGCTTCACGTACTAGTTTACCTGTAATAACAATTTTTAAATTTGTAGTATAGAAGTAATTGATAGTTAGTGTAAATTACGTAATTCAACCCTTGGTTGCGATGTTATTATTATTAGTAAACCTAACCTAACCTAACATTAATTGTATTTAAATTGACATTATTTAACTATTATTTTGTGTTTCTCAACCGGCAGAAACATTTAAAAAGGTTGCTACCTGTGTAAGCTTAAAAGTAAAGTTATAGTCTTAGATCTGTTGATCTTAGATCTGTTGAAGTAAAGTTCTTAAAAGATCTTAAAAGTAAAGCTATACTGCTATAGTCTTAGATCTGAGTAGTAAAAGTAAAGCTATAGTCTTAAAAAAGTCTTAAAAGTAAAGCTATAGTCTTAGAAAAGTAAAGATCTTAAAAGTAAAGCTATAGTCTTAGAAAAGTAAAGATCTTAAAAGTAAAGCTATAGTCTTAGAAAAGTAAAGATCTTAAAAGTAAAGCTATAGTCTTAGATCTGTACAGTCTTAGATCTGTTGATCTTGATCTCAGATCAGTGGTTATCTGAAAACTAGTTTTCAGATCAGTGGTTGATCTACCTAGCCCAAGGTGTGACATCTTTTTTCTGGAATATCTTTAATTAAAATATTTATTTTGTAATAATGTATTAATAATTGTAATGTACATGGGAAAATTTAAAAAAATATGATTTGAACAAATTTGACTGGGTAAACCGTTGCCATTGCTTCTGTATTCAGGTGTTGATTGTGAAAACATTTGAAGAACTATATCAATATATAAAACAAAGGAACTTGACGATTGATTTTGGTGGGACATTACAACACGACTTCAGAGCTTGGCTAGCTGTTCAAAAGGTAAATTTTGAAACAAGATTTTTCGTTATAGATAACTAACAGATCCAGGATAAATGAAGTTTGTGTCCACGCGTAAAAATCTCGCCGCTTGTTCCTAGTTGTTGACAAGTCTGGAACAAGTTATTATCATCTTGTAACAAGCTAGGTTGCTGAGGCCAACAGAATCGCAACAAGTTGTTCCAACAAGTCTGATATCTACACGTAACAAGTTGACGAAAACAACAAGTAACAGTTGACGAAAACAAGCCTGTAGCAACTTGTTACGAGCAGCCTGTATTAGCCTTGTTGGAACAACTTGTAGCAAGTCAGTTTCCATTGTCAACCTTCTAACATGGCGATAACAAGTTGTTCCAGACTTGTCACAACAACTGGAAACAAGCAGTGCGAACTAGAGGTGTGCAAATCCGATCCAATCGGATTCGTTCGGATTTCGGAACAAAAATATACATATCGGATCGGATTGATAAAGTTGTTTCGTAGTCGGATCGGATCGGACTTCGATATTCGAAATAAAATTAATTAATTATTCACGCATTATTGCAGGAATTAATTATCCATGCATTTATCAAAGCATTATCGCGGTTGTCGCTGCATTTTTCGTTTGATACTTCAATTGGACGTCACTTTGTCAGCTTCTTGACATGTATTTCTTGTTTTTATATTTATTTGGTTAAACATTTTCAACTTGAATGAGAAATTTATTATAGGATTCTTCGGATCGGATTGGAATTCTTTATCACAACTCGGATCGGATTCGGATTAGACAATTTCGGATCGGATCGGATTTTAAACATTAGCCAATTGTCGAATTATAAACGTCCGATCCGATGCACACCTCTAGTGCGAACACCTCTTGATTTCGGCTTGCATACAACCTCATAACTTTCCTGATCTCGTTAATTTTTAAAATTTTCTCTTTTGCCTAGATGTTAACCCAATACTATCTTCTGGTTAATAATGTTACCACGTCATCAACTGATGTTCTCCACAGAATACGCGATCTTACATCGGGGGAGCTGGGAACCAGAACTCCAGAGAAGAATACGGAGCATGCGCAGAGAAAGCGACTACGAAATATTGAAAAGAAAAAGATTGAGATACTAAGGTAATTTTAATATCTAGGCTCGGCCACCTTTACATATTAAATAATGCTTCTTAAATTAAAAGCCTTCTTCGCGAGAAATCGTAACTGCAAAATATGAATTGTGACAAATGAGTAATTCTATTGAATTTTTCCATTTTGTGCGCTTTCGTAGTACCGACGCAAGGGAAATTTTTCTTGCGAAGTCTTGTAATTTATTTCTACAGTGCATCCGTTAATTTCATTTGCGCGAAATTTTTCGCATTACACCGAGGAAAAGTGATGGTGGAATCAGGCTTTAAAACAAATCTCTTACATTTTAGGCGGTACAGTTTTACCAAAGCCGAGGAAGACGGTCAAAGATTGCACTCGTATTTTCAGGATCCAAAGTTAAACGAAAATTTTCAGTCTCTCTCTAAATCTCCAGTGTATGTATTGGACAAAGCAAGATTCCAACAGTATTATCGCAAGATTTTAGCTGTGAGAGACAGTATTGAGCATGCGTGGAAGGAAGGTGTGGGTAAAATGAAGTCGTTGGCTAGTGAACAAGAATTGTATGATCGCCTCATTGAGGTATGTGATAGGAAACATTGAGTAAGTTTGTACTTGTTGTTGTTGTTGTTGTTGTTGTTGTTGTTGTTGTTGTTGTTGTTGTTGTTGTTGTTGTTGTTGTTGTTGTTGTTGTTGTTGTTGTTGTTGTTGTTGTTGTTGTTGTTGTTGTTGTTTGTTGTTGTTGTTGTTGTTGTTGTTGTTGTTGTTTGTTGTTGTTGTTGTTGTTTTTGTTTGTTGTTGTTGTTGTTGTTGTTGTTTTTGTTGTTGTTGTTTTTGTTGTTGTTGTTGTTGTTGTTGTTGTTGTTGTTGTTGTTGT